AATAGTCCAGTCTAGAGGTCATGAATGCATGAACTAGCTTTTCTGCATCAGAAACAGGTAACATGTTTCGTAACTTGGTAACGAATATATATATATATATATATATACATATGTATATTAGGGCTGTCAGTTTAACGCGTTAACTTAATTAATTATGAAAAAATAACGCGATTAAAATATTTGAATGCAGTTAATGCACTGGCCCCACCCCCAGATCTGTACATCATCTTACGTTTCATACAGTTGACTGTTGACAAATAAGATGCAGGGCAACAATTCCATAAATGCAGTAATGCCCTAAAATGTAAGATATTGGTGCAAAAAATCCCCCTGTATGAGTTTTTATCTCACATTTATATCATACGATATCACACGAGCAGCGAGAGCAGTAGCCTATTACACGAGTGCTGATTTTGTCCCGAATATCATGAGTTTAATGTGATTTTATACAACAGTTCAGTAAATAAGAAGTTGATATTGTTATATTTTAAACACAATATTATGTGTTTTTTGCTCAATTTTGCAGAGAACATATAACCTTTAAAGCCACAGCAGAATTTTTGTGCGTCTCCGAGCAACACAGTGGTGTTTAGTTTCTGAATGAATCTGCGTTTTGAACGAATCTTGTGAACCAATGATTCAAAGGCCCATTTATGTCATTTCTGAATGAATCAGCCATTTGAACGAATCGAATTGAATGAATGACCGATATAGACATTTACCGCCACCTGCTGGCGGATTTAGTGGCTTGGGATGACCATCATCACACGTCTCAACCAATGAGAGCATTTGGTGTAGGCCTAAACTGCAGCAGCGCTCACATGAATGCTCCCGATAAAATTATTTAGGCTTTACAAACCACTGTTCACTGTTATTTTTAACAGAAAAGAATGCAACATGCTCGTAACATAGACTGTAAAAAGGCTCGTAATCATGACTTCATAAGTGGGAAATAGGAAGTTTCCGATAGCATGTGAAGATGGCAGAGAAGCGCTCTCGCTCAGCACAGTGGAGTGCATCGTTTTGTTAACTTTGTGGTATATTATTTTGAGTCGTTTGGGACGCGGTAACACACGGCCTCCTCACAATATATTGCTTTGCTATCACTTTTGCCGCTCAGAAATGTTCACGCAATCATGCTGCAGCTGCATGTATCAGAAATTCCGCGCTCCGACACTACATGCGTGCCGCGCCTAAGCCCAACTGAAACGCGATCAGGCCCACCTCTTCCTACCGGGCCAGGGCTGGCTAAATGAACCACGCCTGGGCACGGCACGGAGTGATCACACTAGTCAAATGGACCGGGCTTTGGGGGTCAAACACGCTCGGGCACGGTTAAGATTGCCTAGTGTGAGTACACCCTTATACTCCCGCATCCCGTACACATGAGTCTCTACCCACCCGCACTCGCCCATCAAGTGTTGTCCCGCGGGTCCCGCGATAGTGCAGGTCTCTTCTCGGAAGGTGCCTGTTCTAATGTTATGATCGCAGCTCTGGACTCTGAGCATAACTTGTTTTTCTATAACAAACTATAAAATATTTTCTATAAAAACATTAATGCCCTGGCAGTGGCAAATAGCTTTGGTTTTATATTTAATTTGATTACATTAAGGTTTAAGTTGAGATTTACGAGAAATATTTTAACTGCTACTATGTAAAAGGAATACTGCTGTAAAAAAAGCACCTTATACCTTAAAGTGTTTGCAAACCAAATGTTATTGCACTTTTGTTCATATAGCAGTACATTTAAATGAAATGAATTTTGAATTCATTGTTGAATTTTGTGCATAATGCGATTAATCGCAGAAAAATCATGCGATTAATCGCGAGTACAAAAATGTAATCGTTGCCCAGCACTAATATATATATATATATATATATTATTGGCATATATAATAGTTATCTGTATAAATTATAAAACACTGTTATAACAAGGTCATTTTTAATTTATTATATATTTATTTCATTTTATATTATCATCTCACACATCATGGATCAGCATTTTCTATCATTTATTTCTATAATAAAAATACATATCTGATATGATTTTATTATATTATTAGCATCAAACAAACAATATAATTCTTATTCTCAAGGATTAAAGATTAAACGGAAAAAAGAACTATGATTGCACAACCACCAGTTAGGTGGCGATATGTGGGCATGACAGATTGCGCACAATATTATATATTATTACAACATAGTTATGTAATATAGTATGTTAATTATAAAGCACTAATATAAGCACTAATATGGTTACTATATTTATTTTTATTGGCATATATAATAGTTATCTGTATAAACAATAAAACACTATTATGACAAGTAATGTTTAATTTATTATATATATATATTTCATTTTATATTATCTCACATATCATGATCGCCATTTTCTATAATGTATTTCTATAATAAAAATAAATTTCTGATATGACTTATTATATAATTAGCATCAAACAAACAATATAATTCTTATTCTCATGGTTTAAAGATTTAACGGGGAAAAAAAAGAAAAATGACTGCACAACCACCAGTTAGGTGGCGATATTAACCAAGTATGCAAATGAACAAAAGAAGAAGAAAGAAGCAGCATGGCACGGTTTTTCTTAGTGTCCGTTTCCATAGGGACTCGGCGATTCGTCGGTCTGTTGAGAATGTCTTGTGCTAATAAAAATAAATTTCTGATATGACTTATTATATAATTAGCATCAAACAAACAATATAATTCTTATTCTCATGGTTTAAAGATTTAACGGGGAAAAAAAAGAAAAATGACTGCACAACCACAAGTTAGGTGGTGATATTAACCAAGTATGCAAATGAACAAAAGAAGAAAGAAGAAGCATGGCACGGTTTTTCTTAGTGTCCGTTTCCATAGGGACTCGGCGATTCGTCGGTCTGTTGAGAATGTCTTGTGTGTTAACCAGGAACTTACTCTGGGTTGAATGAACATACTCCTGGACGCGTTTTTGGAACCAGCATACCTCAAGTAAGCAAGGTTTGGGTTACTCAACCGAGAGTTCAGGGTTTAGCAGATGGTTAAGTTAACCTTGCTTTCTGGAATACACCCCTGCTGATACAATGAATGTTTTTAAAAATGCTGTATACAGTAAAAGTAACAGTGTTGGTCATCAGCCGATATTGGAGTTTTCTTTATTTCTTATTTGTTTCACCTTAACTTAACTTAACTCAACTTAACTGAAATTAAAACTTAACATAAAATTTAACTTAAAACTTAACTAACTTAACTTAATTAACTTAAAGGTCTGTATTTGGTAAATTTGTATTAGGTATTTATTTATGTTAATTGTATCTATTTTCACATTTAGATCATTTAAACTTAATTTTTTTAAACTTTTGTAATCTTTAGCAAATCTCAAATTAAATATACATTTTTCATACTGTATATTATAATGTTGTGGTGCCTGAATTCACTTGTAGTATTTAAAATGATCAATTTTAGTATTTATTGTTTATAATTGAGACAAAATAGTATACAATTTTAATATTTGCCATTTATCGGTATCTGCCAGGATTGTAATATCGGTACACCACTAGTAGCAAATAAACAAAATATCTTTTATTTTGTTCTCGTTATGTCCCATATTGGATTTATGACTCTTAAGCATAACATGAAAAATATGACTTTACATGGTCCTTTTCAGTTTAAATGGCCAGTTTAAGCGACAATGTGATGGAACTTAAAGCATTAGCCTCCTCATTTACATTTTATTTAATTTCTTTTTATTTCCCTGAATGATTTACAATCAGGCTGTTTTCATAAATTCCTGTAAGCTGAATTATATTTATTTAGTTTCATACAAAACCTGTGCTGGAGAGTTTGAAAGACTGACAGAGAGAGAGTGCTGATTATCTCGTGCTCCACAGGAATCACTAATTATGAGGAGTACTCACTGATCCAAGAGCAGGTGGAGGAGAAGCGTGAGGATGGGATGGGAACGCTGAAGAAAGACCGAACCCTCCTGCGAGACGAGAGGAAGATGGAGAAGCTGAAAGCCAAACTTCACACAGATGATGATTGTGAGACTCCTGGCAACTGTGAAAATAAAACATTAGCAAAGAAAACGCCCCGCCAGATTCACCCACACTGAGAGATTCTTATACAGGCTTAAAGAAATTTGACACTGTCCAGATCTTTAAATGATATAATAATTGGTGTCATAGACCCCCTTAGTATGTGCTCACTGGATTTGAACTGTGTTGTTAATATACGATTAAAAAAATTAATTTGGTTGCTAATGCTAACATGGTCAAATGTTTCATTCGCAGTGAACTGGCTGGACCACAGTCGGACATTTCGGGAGCAGGGCGTAGAGGAGAGCGAGATATTACTTCTACGAAGGAAGTTCTTCTATTCTGACCAGAATGTAGACTCTCGTGATCCTGTCCAGCTCAACCTTCTCTACGTACAGGTAAAAGATCAGTTTTGATCACTTTTTTTGCTCTTTTTCTATTTCAGACCACATACTGACTAGATGTGTCATGTTTTTGCCAAAAAGCTAATATGCCACAAAACAACAAGGTCACAGCCAATCAGACCATATTTGAAATAAAATATACAATTATGTGAAGCAGGATTTTTGACCAATGAGATTTCATTGTGGGCGGAGCTAGCCAACATGACTTGACGAATGGAAACAAAGCAATCATCAAATGTCTTGCAGGGAAAGGGTTTCATTTGCTGAGTGACAGCTTCTTGACCTGAAGTATTTTGCCCTGATGCCCTGTGTAATTATTGATAATTATGCTTGATTTTAACAATAATAATCAATTTTATCAACTTGTTTTCATTGTCTTTTACTGAAATTCTGTCTGTCCTCTATCTGTCTTTTTGGCTGTTTTAGCTGTATTGCACCAGTTTGCCAAAACCTCTTCATCACCACCTGCTCTAACAATTAATTAATTTCTCAGAGCCACTGTCGCACAGACATTTAGGTGTTAGATAGTTTTATGAAAGCAGTGAAATAGTGACACAGCTCTTATGAATTAATTATTGGTCAGCCCAGAAGGCAATGTGCATATCTTCGCAGTTGCTGATTTGTCGATTGTCTTTTCCACCACCGCAGGCAGTATGGATTACTTTTCCCTCACATCTCTTCCTAATTAGGCACTTTTTTTTTCCAGAGTATTGCGTAGTTTTTCAGATCGCAATAAATGTGAAATGCCAGAAAGCACAGAGAAGCAAAATCATAAGTATCTATGTGGGAATTTAGACCAATGAGATGCCGTTGGGGGCGGAGCTAAACAGCATAACACAACATATTTTGATGGTTAGTTTAGCACAATAAAAATAATTTGTGATGTTTGTTGTATATCTATGTGGGAATTTGGACCAATGAGGTTTAATTGTTTTGGGGGCGGAGCAATGAAAATATTAGGGCTGGGAAGAATAACACGTTAATTTTGATGTTTAGATTAGTGCAATAAAAATAATCACAATTAATGAAGCATCTTTTTTAACACTTCCTGAAGCTATGCTAATGTTTTTCATGACTTCTTGTAGCTAGCGTTAAAACACGTTTGGGGGGGTTAACATTTTTAAAGACACTATTGAAATTATTGCTTGAAATTTTATTACATCATACTTTTACACCTTCTCCTAATTAAGCACTTTTCGCAGTTTTTTTGCATATGTTTTTTTTTTTTTTTTTGGTCACGAAAGTGAAAAAATAACAGATCATATTTTTATGAGCCAATGAGGTTTCATTGTGGGTGGAGCTAACCAGCATGATGCAAAGAAAATAATAGAGCTGGTAAAATAGCATGTTAATTTTGATGGATGGTTAGTTTAATGTGATTAAAAATATTTATCACAAAACACAACCGATAACAAGGAAACCAGGAAATTTATCATGTGATTTTTTTTTTTCCGTCATGCTAAGTTTGCACATGATCTTACATGTGATGTTGTCACACATTCACACAAGCATATTTCGTTCTCTCTCTGGTTTGAGTCAAAAGGACTTGTGTCACAAAGTGGCCAGTGGCTCTTCGTGCATACATGTTTATGTATGTAAATGTGTGTGTGTGTGTGAGTAGCGCAGTGTGAATGTGTGTGTCCGCTCAAGGAGCTCTGCGCTAGTGCGTAGTTTCCCTCGAGGCCGTGAGCTGTTGGAGCAGACGGGCCGCAGTGCTCTGACCGGCCTCTGGAGCACACGGCTCGCTGCAGATGCATTAGTGTGTCTGCCTGAGGATTTCAGAGCAACTTCCCACTGACAAACACGCACATATTCTGTCACCTGCACTTAATAACTTATATAAGATGATGAATAAGCACTTTTTTGGCCAATATATGGTTAGTATTTCTAGATTTGAAAGGAAAACATGGCTGTATCCTTGTTATTAAATGTGTGTTTACAAAATGTCAAGTTTCCACATACTGTACACTTAAAAAATACTGTGGCAATATCATGGTGCTGTGGTTTTTACGTAACCAAAAATCATAGTTTTAGCATGGTAACCTACATACTACACTGTATTACCATGCATGGTGTTTTTAACCTTGGTACTGTCCAGAAAATATGGCAATACCATGTTCAAAAACATTATACAAATATGGTACCATATTCATTTACCGTAGTATAGAATGTACATGGTACTACATGGTATTTTTAAAGAAAACCATGGTATTAGCATGGTACATTTCCAAAAACAAAATGGTATTGCCATGGTACTTTGTTAAAGAAACCTAGTATCATCATGATAGTTGTCTTAAAAACATAATAATACCATGGTACCCTGTTATATACTAATGTACTATGATTACTGTATTTGTATAGAATTCCTGCTGAGGAAAATAAGTCTGGTCAGGCTGGGAGACCAGCTATAGACACCGTATTACTATGATTACTATATTCATTTACCATGTACTTAAAAGAATTACCGCACTATTACCTTATACTATTACCTATGTCCAAAAACATGGTATTTACATTTCTACTTCAGATTTCCATGGTATTAGTCTAATACATTCAAAAACGTGGTAATACCATGGTACTTTATCATATTCTTGCAACATGGTTCTGCTATGGTACCATGTCAAGACACATGGTCTACCTTATGAAACCATTGACCATGGTTTTCAAAAAACTATGGTTACTGTAGTTAAACCAATATTAACCACAAATTAACCATGGTTTTGCTACACTAACCATAGTTTAACCATGGAATTTGTAGTAAAAATGTAATGGTAATCAATATGCCAAAAGACCATGGTTACTGCACTTTTACTATAATAAAACCATGGATAATTTTAATAAAGGTAATGCCTTTACGAAGGGATTTCATGGTATTAATTAATAATAAATCACTACTACTACTACTATTACCATGATGCTACTATTACCAAATCCGTGTACATGGTATTTACATGTTACTCTACAGTTGTTTTTTTAAGAATTCCATGGGCTTTTTTTGTAATTGATAGATTTACTGAGGTGTTTTGTATGTCCGTGCTGGTAAAAAGGTGCATGCGAGTCACTACACACACACACACACACACACACACATGCACGCATACTGTAACACTTCTCCTCCCTTTCCTCAGTCTTCCGCCCACGTGAAATTTTATGACATGGTGCCACACACACCCACATACTTTCAGATACAGAAGAGCACAGCTCTCACACACACACACTGAGACTGCTGCACATGTATGCGCTCAGGAGTGTTTGGCAGGCTGAAGGGGATTTCTCTGCTCCAAGCTCGGGGCGTGACCGCGTCATATCTCAGTTTGTCATGATGTGTTCCCATAAACCCTCACTGACTGTATCTGCTACTGTTACCATGTTGATGTCATCTGTGAGCAATGCAAGGTGATTGGTGGATGTCCTGAGGGCGGGGCCCCTCACACACGGACTTGTTTATGATGATGTAAAACGTTCATGACCTCAGTCCCCACTCACAACATCGGCCAAGTATACACTCTCACAAACAAACTTGTGTACGTTTCTGCCTCTGCTCTTATAATTACTTCATCCAGATTGTTTGAAAACTCACAAACTTGGCTCTGCAAATAGATGCCGCTTGTTTTGTAGATGCTCACTTGGTGGTGGCGTGGAAGGCACTAAAATATTTCTGTAAAATGCACCCTTTCAGGTTTTAAACTGAACTACACTCAGGTGTATATCAGGAGACCCTCTGTAATATTAGACTGCACTCAGTGTCACCACACAGTGTTATTGAAACATCTTAAAGGGATAGTTCACCTAAAAATGATAATCTGTCAGTATTTACTCGCCCTCATGTTGTTCCAATCCCATATGATGTTACTTTTACTCTGTGGAGCTCAAAAGGAGAATTTTTAAAGAATCTTCTCGAAGTGCTTTTCCATATAACAGAGATTCCTGAACTTTTTTGGCAGCTGAACCTCTTTGACGAAAAATGATTTCTTGAAGTACCACCTGTGATTTTGAGTTAATATTTCAATATTTAATGACACATTCACATGTTTCATGGTTTTCTGATGTTGGTCACCCAAAATAAAAGGTTTTATACTTTTTTAATGTGTTTTATTTGATTCTCTTTGTTTTAAAATTGTTTATTTATTGTAATTTTAAGTATTTTGATTTAATCATTAGCTTTTCATCAACTCACAAACCCCCTGCATTTCCTTCACAAACCCTAATTTGGAAACCCTTTGTTTTCTGTTTTATGTTTGCTTGTTTGGTTGAATATTTATTTATTTTTAATTTTTTTTGCGTTTGGATTGGTTTAGTAGAGTTTAGTTTGGCCTGTTTTTGTTTTGGGTTTTTTGTTGTTTTGGGGGGGAGGGTGTTTTTTGTTTGTTTTCTGTTTGTTTGATTAGTTGAGTTTTGTTTTGCTTTGGTTTTTTTATTTGTTTTTTTGTTTGGTTTGGTTTAGTAGAGTTTAGTTTGGCTTTTCTTTTGGGGGGGCGGGTTGTTTCTTTTTGTTTTTTGGTGGTGGGGGTTTGAGTGGGTTGGTTTGGTTTACTTTATTTTGGTTTTGTTTAGATTGGTTTAGTTTTGAACTTGACAGATATTGTTATTAGTTGTTATATAGTATTCTTGTATGAACTTGTTTGGAAAAAATAGTGTAAAGTTTCTTTTAAATTTCTAATTTTCCGCTTTAAAAAAAACAAGCATACAGGTTTGTAATGACATGAGAGTGAGTAAATGATGGCCGAATTTGTATTTTTAAGTGAATTGCTCCTTTTATGTATTTGTTTTTTCTTTTGGGCATTTGTATCTCTGCTGAAATGGAGAAACTAATGTTGCTTCTAAGATTGTGTCAGTACAATCCCAGCAAGTCTGTTAAAGCGTGCCTGCAGGAATCACGTGTTATGAATTGTGTGCTACTGCTTAAAAAAACAAGATGTCAAGATGAGAAGCCTTCCTCAACTCACAAAATTATTTTATCTCGCAGCTATATGTCGCTAAAGTTGCTTATTAGCGATATCTCATCTCTGCACAGAGATTCTTGTGTTAATATACTGATCTGAATATTCTTTAAAGATGTTGATGGCCCTTCAAATGTTTTTGTCTGCTTTGTTGTGCTAACAACTGCTTAGCGAATGCACCGCATACTTTCTGTAACATCTTTGTTAGCACCCTCATTACATTCTGTAACATCTGCTCTTGTTTCCTGTCTCTGTTTCAGGCCAGGGATGACATTCTGAACGGATCCCACCCCGTGTCCTTTGATAAGGCCTGCGAGTTCACTGGAATTCAGGCACAGATCCAATTCGGTCCCCACGTGGAGCACAAACACAAGCCAGGATTTTTAGAGTAAGACCACATGCCTTGTAGCTGCGGTATCATATGCAGCCCATTCAACACTGTCACTGTAACACACACACGGGCTCTTTCAGTTGTTATCTGATTACATTTTAGACCAGACAATTATTTGCAAGAATTCTGTAGCTGTCTGGAAACCTTAACAGTCGGTGTGGGCATATGTTATGAAGATGTAATTCCCGCCAGGATGACCTCATGTGTTTTGTTCTGCTCTGATGGAAAAATGTTTGTGTAGTATGAGAGTAAACTTGTGAAATGTATTTGCAGCCTGAAGGAGTTCCTACCAAAAGAATACATCAAACAGAGGGGGGCGGAGAAGAGAATTTTTCAGGTAAGTGACCCTCTGACGGCTTTACACAATCCGTTATTCTAAGAAAACATACTATTAGGCACTGTCCATGACTAACATACAAAAAACAGCCTGAAACCATTAAAAATGAAGGGTTTTTGAATATTTCAACACATGGTCACCGAAAGGAATGTCTTAACCTTGGAGAAAATGTGGATTGCAGGAGGTCAAGCTGAATATTACATGAGCGGTTTTATTTTCTGTTCATTCTATGGGGTTTGGAATTTTTGCAACCTTGTTATTAATATTTGGAACATGTCTAAGTACGGCCTAAATGCAATTTTATACCATGATTTGTGTATTTCCCCTTAATTTTAAACTTAAATTAATATCAAAATTTTATTTTATACAAAATTGTAAAAATGAAATTGATATGAAATCTGAGTAACGGTTGAAAATCAAGCTGAAATTACAACCTAGCTTGTCTGAAATCAAAGCTTTGTTTGTAAATATTGATACATTTCCTATCAATGAAAAAAAATTTGTTTGATTTCTTTCAGTTTTTGTTTTCTTACAGTAACTTTGGTAACAGGGTTGAATGGTTGAGCTGAAATCGCAATAAACAACAGTGGTTGTAAAAAACTGGAAAAAATGTAATGTGTTATAATGCAAAATATGGGTTACAGCTAAATATTTAACTTTTGGTAGTTAAAAATATTTCTTTAAAGTTTGTTTTATTAAAATTGTTTTATTACAATGTACAGAATATCAATTCAATAGATAATTTCAATTCTGTAGATAACTGTATGATTTTAATTACGATTGGCAAAAAAAAAAGAAAAAAGAAATCTTACATACAAACATTGTTGTTTACTGTGATTTAAGCTCAACCATTCAGCCCTATTTCCAAAGTTATTGTAAGAAAACAAAAAGGAAAGAAATCAAACAAATATTTTTTTTAATTAATAGGAATTTTAGCAATAATGACAAACAAAACTTTGATTCCAGACAAACTAGCTCGTAATTTAAGCTTGATTTTCAACCCTGTTACTCAGATACATACATATATATATTAGTGCTGTCAAATGATTAATCGCATCCAAAATAAAAGTTTTTGTTTACATAATATATGTGTGTGTACTGTGTATATTTATTATGTATATATAAATGCACACACATACAATATATATATTTTTAAAATATTTACATGGATTTACATGTATATATTTATATAATTTATATTATATATAAATACATTTAATATATAAACATAACCGTGTTTTTATATGTGTTTTCAGCATATATCGAGCTCTCCAGTGTGAATTAAAACCTGATTTAAAAACACAACAGACTAAGTTGGCTTGTTACCAAAAGGTTGTTGGTTCAAATCCCACAATGGCTGAGAAGTGTTCATATCTTAATCTCCTCACCAGGATCACAAAAGCTGCGGTGAGATGACAGAGATTGAGGCAAAAGTAAAGTATGTGAAGCTTGCCAGGTCCCTACGCACATACGGAGTGTCCTTTTTCCTGGTGAAGGTGAGTATTTTACAGTTCAGACTTTAGATTCTGATTCTGTTCGAAGTTTTAAAATGCAGATAAATGGTCACAAACGGTTGTGCATGTAGCCAGCTAATATCACACAACAGAAAAATGTTATTAAGAGTTATTGCCCTTATATAATCTTGTGCCGCACAATATTTTCCTCTTATCGCCTTCAATTCAGACTGCAAGCTCACAAGTCGAGTAAAATATCATTTCTTTTGCCGTGGCGCAGCACTGCCGATACTTCGCCGTGCAGAAAACTTTGGACTGTACAGTAAACCAGCAAAAAAAATGTTTGGAAAGACTACTAAATAATTCATACTATCAGCACTATCAGAGAATACAAGCGCAGACAGATTCAAAATAATATCCAAAAGACTGTCTATAGCAGTTTCTTCAACAACAAGCACTTTATTTCTTGTGTGTGTGTGTGTGCGCGCGTTTTTGTGACATATGAGGACACAAATTTGTATAATGACATGGGTATGACATAGGCATTACAAGGAGAAGGTGATTTATGAGGACATTGCCCCATATTTCAAAAAGCTTATAAATCATACAGAATGAGTTTTTTTGAGAAAGTAAAAATGCACAAAGTTTCCTGTAAGGGGTAGGGTTAGGGTGTATGGTTGGTGTAGGGCAGGGTTCCTCAATAGGCGGCCCTCGGGCCACATCCGGCCCGTGAGAGAAAAAAGTTTGGCCCGCGCTAATTTCAAATAATGTGACATGAAAATTCAACGCAGCATCAGAAAGCTACATTAACTTACATCGTGTCTACACCGGACGCAAGCGGCGCGACGCAATAAAATACAACACAACTCGTTATAATCAGAGATGCTGTCTTGGATGCGGCACGACACGACAAATCCCCGACAGTAAACTGCTGACTCGTTGTACTTATAACGTACTGACACAACGTTCAAATGATTTGCAATGCTTTGTCGCGTCCAGTGTAGATGCGATGTGACAGCAAAAACATGGCGAGTGTGTAGCAAAGAAAAGTGGACACGGAAAATAGATGATTCAAATGTGAATGGACAGTTTTGAGTGAGTGAGTGATATCTTTGTTATGGAATACACGTGTTGGTTCGCAGTGAGTTTTTAATGTACAAGTTTGCTTTAATAAAAACAAACTTGTGTGTGTGTGTGTTTGAAAATGAAGGTCTCATTCAATCTGTGAAAGATTTAATTTTATTGTATTTTCCAGACTTTTAATCTTATAATAATATTATTAGTATTATTTACACAAATCATCTCAAATTGTATAAAAAATATTTACATTTATTTTCGCATATTACTGTCCCTCGTTTTGGCACAAAGAATGGCTGCCATCACATTAATTATATTTGAAAATATATTTGAAAAAATGTGTGTGTGTATATATATATATATATATATATCTTACAATTTCCTGCCACGACGTCGCAGAAAATAAAAACCGTTCCTTAAATAGGATCCCGTGTCGCTTATTGTCACGTGTCGCTGTCGCGGGTGGTTAGGACAAAAACTACATGAAAAAGATACTTTTTATCGCGTCGTGTCTGGTTGGGACACATAGTGTTACAGTTTGATCCCCCCAAAAAAAATCTAAGCATAAAAATATTAATACTGACAAATCTAATAATTGAATCTGCAATTAGGGAAAGTGGAGAGAAGATCCATATAAAAAATATTTACATTTATTTTCGCATATTACTGTCCCTCGTTTTGGCACAAAGAATGGCTGCCATCACATTAATTATATTTGAAAATATATTTGAAAAAATGTGTGTGTGTATATATATATATATATATATATCTTACAATCCATTTAATTCATGTAAAATTATTTCATAATTTACATGTAATCAATTTTTTTTGTTATTTTTGTATTTAGAATTTTAGATATAATTTTTAGAATTTTAGTATAAAAGAATATTATGTATATAATTTTTGGCCACAGAATGCAGCAACTGACCAATCATAATGAAGTATTCCAGAGGCCCTTGTAATTAATTGTTAAAATTAAGCAAATAAGCCTGTGTGTGTGTGTCACGGTGCACACACACGAGGAACGAGGAGACGCTGGAGAATACGTTTAACAGGACTTTATTACCACCAAGGAACCAAGGGAGACGAACACAGGAAGACGTTCAACAGCGGCCAGAGAACTAGGGACTTGGAACACTTTAAATATACACAGGAGGAGGGGATGACGAGACACACCTGGGATCAATGAACCATCATGGGGAACACCTGGGACAAATTAAACATGGGAAAGGAACACCTGGGGAGCAAGACACAGACAAAACATGGAACAGAGTCTGACAGTGTGTTTATCCATATACAGGGTTCTTAGAAAGTGTTTCCGTTTATTCCAGTTCTGTTTGTGTTTTTAAGACTATTAAGCATTCTTAAGCTGTACGGCACACAGAGGAAGATTTACAAGCTGCCCACTCAAGGATCAGTTTCAGGTCAATAGTGGAGTGTTGCTAAGTGGCCGGTTTCAAATTAATAGCGCCTAACAATAGATTGCGCCGCTCTGAATGAGCAAAAGCACCGTCCCTGACCAACGCAGACAATTAGACAATGAACATTTACCAAAAAAATAACTATATTTACCCATGTTGCATAAGCCTCACCCTTGAAAAGCGATGCCATTCAGGACTGTAAACAATGTCAGCGGGTCTTTCTGTGAGGTAAGTCGTTATTTATAATGCACTCTTATCAGAGGTTGTTATTTTCGACCCACAGGTGAAAACAATAGCCTGGAGATGTACTGCGCAAGAGGTCATTTAAACATTTAGTGTTTGTTTTTATTATGTATTTGTGCGGCGGTAAGAGTCCTCTGGCAGGATGCCATCAGCGGGCAATTGTTTTGGGTCGTGTGTGTGTGTGTGTGAGAGATGGGAAATGGCAAAAGGCACCAGGCCATGGTCGAGTAGCACATATACTGTAGTCTAGTTTTAGACGCTGCCACCCATTTAGCAGCTGCACTGCCTGATTGGCTGGATGGTGTACTGTGTGGTGAATATGCATTTGCACATGCTTTGGGAGCTAATATTATTGGTCAAGGTGCAATTGTATGATTTTGTAAACCAGATTTCTGTATGTATGATAGTTATTAAAGAACAAAGAATCTTGAAGTGAATTATGAGTTTGAGAATCTTAAAAAGTCAATTCACATACATTTAGAATAATGTCACTAAAACATCTGTTAAATGCTGTTCTAACATATAAACAACGTCAAATAAATGTTTGGTTGAAATATGTGTGCTACCAGAGAGAATGTTCCAGTAACTGCATGCTGACTTATGTTATCTTTAAAAGCCCAGAGAGATCGTTTGACAAGTAGAGTTTTCGCGCACACATTAGGATAGGTTAGATTCCTGCCTCCGCTGCGAGTCCCTATCAAGCACTTTACAGATTCAACTACTCTCCTCTTCTCCTCCTGCCTGGCTCTTTGGCCAGCATCATTCACCGAAGAGCAAGCCTGTTCTTGATAAATCTGCTGTGAAAACGTGGGAAAAGCCGACGAGAAGAAGTTGGAGTAAAGTGATCTTTATATAGGCGAAGCAAAGTACTTCATCGCTCCATCTATAGCGCATTGTGATTGGATGGTTTACGCTGTCAATCGAGGATTCCAGATGTACATAGTCATGACCAAACAATCCGTTACTCTGCAGACACTGTGGTTAGGCGTCGTAGAGAGAGAGTTGAAATAAGGACAGTGAACTGCATACAGGGCGATGCTCTTTCAACATGATTAATGAGCAAAACAAATTTAGTAATCACATAAATACCAAAGTCAGAAATGAAGTCAGACTCAGCAATCAGCAGCCCATTGTGTATTTCGGTCCTCGCCACACAATACACAAACACCATGTGTTATTTTTCAACAGGAGAAGATGAAAAGCAAGAATAAGTTGGTCCCGCGTCTGCTGGGCATTACCAAAGAGTCAGTGATGAGGGTGGAAGAGAAGACCAAAGAGGTGGTGCAGGAGTGGCCCCTCACCACAGTCAAGAGGTGGGCAGCCTCACCCAAGAGCTTCACATTGGTACGTTACATTATTCACTCCATTTAACACGAGCCACAGTGTGTTTGGATTCTTCCTTAGATTCTGCATTCACTTTATCTGCTCAGTAGGTTTATATAGTTCTGTATACAGTGAATAAAAGTATGAAAGTATTGGGTTTGGTCACTTCATATTGTCATGGTAGCTGCCTTCAAACAAATTATGTTTGTGTGACAAATACTTTTTTGGACCCATTGTGTGTGTGTGTGTTTTGTTTTTTACTTTATATTTCAATTGTAATAAGAAATTACAATAAATTTAAATGTAATGCATACATGTATATATTTTTATATAATATTTCTGTTTACTAGTTACATTTTTATATTTAAATCTTAAAAATGTATATTATAATACATAATATTATAGAAGTATCTATTGAAATATTATGTTTCTATTTCAATGTTTTTTTACTTTATATTTCAATCTTAATAAATACGAAATTACAATAAAATAAAATATAATGCATAATAATAGTACACATGTATCTGTTTTATATAATATTTCTATTATATTGTTATTTTATGCGTTATATTTACATCTTAAAAACTATATTTATGTATATAATATAATATAATATAATATAATATAATACATAATGATATTGTACATAGAGTCAAACCAAAATTTATTCAGACACATTCAACATTTCTCATGCATTATCACAGTTTATTCACTATAGTTTAGAAAATGGTAATAAAATATGACAAGAACTCAGAGTTAAAATGTGTCAGAACAAATTAATCTTGATAATGTCAGATAACTTTGATAGAAAGGTATGTAATTAATTTGGTTGAGTAGCTGTCGGCTGTTAAATTTAAGTACACAATTAGACAATACCAATTTAGGTCAACCAATTACTAAGCAATGCTTCATTTTGTTCAGTCTTTGGTGTAAAAAGGTTGCATTAGCAATTAAATAAAAACACTTAAGCAAAACATGGTCAGGTCAAAGTGTCTGAATAATTTTTATCAGCTTTACTGGTAGTCCACTGTATCAAGAATTTTTGGGTATAATATGTCACAGTTTACTTTATTTTGCTATCCTCACTTACATAAATTTAGACGCTGCCACCCATTTAGCAGCTGCACTGCCTGATTGGCTGGATGGTGTACTGTGTGGTGAATATGCATTTGCACATGCTTTGGGAGCTAATATTATTGGTCAAGGTGCAACTGTATGATTTTGTAAACCAGATTTCTGTATGTATGATAGTTATTAAAGAACAAAGAATCTTGAAGTGAATTATGAGTTTGAGAATCTTAAAAAGTCAATTCACATACATTTAGAATAATGTCACTAAAACATCTGTTAAATGCTGTTCTAACATATAAACAACGTCAAATAAATGTTTGGTTGAAATATGTGTGCTACCAGAGAGAATGTTCCAGTAACTGCATGCTGACTTATGTTATCTTTAAAAGCCCAGAGAGATCGTTTGACAAGTAGAGTTTTCGCGCACACATTAGGATAGGTTAGATTCCTGCCTCCGCTGCGAGTCCCTATCAAGCACTTTACAGATTCAACTACTCTCCTCTTCTCCTCCTGCCTGGCTCTTTGGCCAGCATCATTCACCGAAGAGCAAGCCTGTTCTTGATAAATCTGCTGTGAAAACGTGGGAAATGCAGACGAGGAAGAAGTTGGGGTGATGCGATCTTTATATCGGCGGAGCAAAATACTTCATCGCTCCGTCTATAGCGCATTGTGATTGGATGTTTACGCTGTCAATACAGGAGACAATCCAATGGGCCACTGGCTGCTCGCTGTCCCTGCGTGATGGTCCTTGGCAAAAAAAAAAAAATTCTGTCGGCCCCTTAAGTGTGTCGGCCCACCGGGAAAATGCCCGGTATGCCCGATTACCAATCCAGCCATGGTTATGTTACAACTGAGAACATGATTTTCTTCATGCTAATTGTGGAATCATGAGGCGGTCCTTTTTAATTATTAGGAGCATTTGATTTGTTGAAAATCGCTGTAGTGCAGGATGAGTCATCAGTACTTTTCATCAGTTTTCCTTGGACAGAAAAAGTAAAAAAATGCTAAATATATTTACATTTCTATTATTAGAAACTATTTCTATGATTTAATACTCTGAAACACTCAATTAAGACTGGTCAGTTGTATTTAATATATTATTTATAATTATTTGATTTAATATTTTTATAAATGTAATGCATAATAAAATTATACATATATTTATTTATATGTAATGTTTTTACTTGCATATGGTATTAACTTTATTTAAATCTTAAATGTATAATATAATATATTGTATTATACATGTAGTTATTAAAATATAATGCATATTATAATGATATAGTACATATCATAGATGTATCTGTTCAAATTAATTTTTTATGTAAATTAATAATTATACACACGCACATACATACATATTACATACTGTATATATATACTGTATGTGTATGTATATATATATATATATATATATATAAAACGCATGCGATTTATTTTACAATCTATCTGCTCAGTAGGTTTATATAGTTCTGTATACAGTGAATAAAAGTATGAAAGTATTGGGTTTGGTCACTTCATATTGTCATGGTAGCTGCCTTCAAACAAATTATGTTTGTGTGACAAATACTTTTTTGGACCCATTGTGTGTGTGTGTGTTTTGTTTTTTACTTTATATTTCAATTGTAATAAGAAATTACAATAAATTTAAATGTAATGCATACATGTATATATTTTTATATAATATTTCTGTTTACTAGTTACATTTTTATATTTAAATCTTAAAAATGTATATTATAATACATAATATTATAGAAGTATCTATTGAAATATTATGTTTCTATTTCAATGTTTTTTTACTTTATATTTCAATCTTAATAAATACGAAATTACAATAAAATAAAATATAATGCATAATAATAGTACACATGTATCTGTTTTATATAATATTTCTATTATATTGTTATTTTATGCGTTATATTTACATCTTAAAAACTATATTTATGTATATAATATAATATAATATAATATAATACATAATGATATTGTACATAGAGTCAAACCAAAATTTATTCAGACACATTCAACATTTCTCATGCATTATCACAGTTTATTCACTATAGTTTAGAAAATGGTAATAAAATATGACAAGAACTCAGAGTTAAAATGTGTCAGAACAAATTCATCTTGATAATGACAGATAATACTTAAACAAAACATGGTCAGGTCAAAGTGTCTGAATTATTTTTGGTTCCAAATTATCATACATTTTACTGGTAGTCCACTGTATGAAGAATTTTTGAATATACTATGTCATTTTATTTTGCTATGCTCAATTACAAGTTTGTGAGTCTATCAGTAGTAAATCGACAGGATAGCCATGACCAAATTTAGTAATTAATAAAAATAAATAAATAATAAAAATTGAATTTGGAATTTTTGGAAGAAAAGCTTCTAAAACATGATGAAAGCCCATGGTTGTTAGAATTTAGATAATTTGAAAGTTTTCTCTTAGGGGACCTAACCTCCGTAGACGCCGGTGGTGCAACCTGCCGAATCAGTGCCAATTTTAGTAGTGATTGCACTGCAGGAGATGTCCATCAGTTGAATGGAGCCTTGCCCAGAAATCCAACCAATGCTAATTTAACGTGCAGGTATGGATTCTGGCTTGGGTTCACTTTAAGTCCCTGTCAAACACGACATGGAAAAGGGCAGTGAAAAACCAACGCACATACTCACTCGTCTTGTTTGTCTGCAACTTAATGGGATTACTGATTGGGCAATTTAGGTCAACCAATTACTAAGCAATGCTTCATTTTGTTCAGTCTTTGGTGTAAAAAGGTTGCATTAGCAATTAAATAAAAACACTTAAGCAAAACATGGTCAGGTCAAAGTGTCTGAATAATTTTTATCAGCTTTACTGGTAGTCCACTGTATCAAGAATTTTTGGGTATAATATGTCACAGTTTACTTTATTTTGCTATCCTCACTTACATAAATGAACTATAGTGTCCTGCACCCACTAGTAAAAAAAAATATCAAAAATTATATCTGGTGTCTGAATAATTTTTGGTTTGACTGTATGTCTGTTTAAATATAATGTTTCTATTTATGTTATTTTATACCCTGTATTTAAAAGTAAACTAAATTTATAATGTAATACATAATATTATAGTGTAGAATAATGTTATAGTATGTCATCATACTAATATATAATATTATGTTAAAATATTAATGTAGTTTTTATATATGTGTAAATATATTAAAGTTTGTTTGGCAAAGATAAAAGAAATTTAAGTTTGCTGCATTTGAATTTGTTGTGTTAATTTATTATTATTATTATTCTATTTATTTATTTATTTATTTGCATGACTGTTCTTAATACCTGTATATGTTTTCACACATTTATATTGAGCGGTTTTGACGTAACAGCTAATATCATTGTAAAGTAGGGCTGCCCTCGACTAAGGATTTTTCTGGTCGACTAGTAGTTGTTCATTTTAAGCATTAGTCGACTAATCGCACGTTTATTAATAAACCATTTAAATCATTATAATGACCCTTTAATTGCCTACATAGCCTAATAAGCGCTTAAGCGCACACATAAAGCTTGCCACAGCGCACCGGCAGAAGTAATGATTATGAATGTGTAAGGGAAAAACAGTAAGGAGGCTGCATTAACATTTTAATAATTCACTGATAAACAAGTGCTTTCTTTGTTTCTCTTAAGAGATGAAGTTGGCGACACTGACTCGTCATCTCCGAAGTAGTGATGCTCCTGCATGCTTGTTTCATACGGATTACATAATCTGAGAATATTTGTCTTCCATTTGAATTGGTTTATTTGAAAGTAGACATTTTACTCTCTATAGATATATTTTTAATGTCTGTAAGAGTTTCGCGCTCAAGTTCACAGACCGAGATGGCAGAAAGCGCATCCTGTTTGCTTTCATTATTTTACAAAAGCGCGGTATTGTAAGTGCACACAAATAAACGAAGAATCTTTACAGATTTGAAAGATGTATTACTCTTATCTGTATGACCAAAAATTACGGAGTATTTTAAGAGTAAGTGAGCGCACCGGTGCCTCCATCTGTTCTGCAGTGAGTGCTCAGTTTACACACTCCGCACATACACTTAGCGCACATTTCTCTAGGTTAACATTAGTTTGAGCGGCCATGTAAAGTTGGTAATACTTACATATTTCAGATGATAAGTCATATTTGAGATCGATGAATGATAGGCGAGCGTTTGGATGTCCTGCCCGATGTACTGTATTACCACATAGACCAGCCGTTAACTATCTGCGTGACTTCGCCCTTGTGGATTTTTTTTTCTGCGACTAATAACATTTTGGTCGACCAAGCCTCTTCTGGTCGACTAACGATTAGTCGACTATTAGGGGGCAGCCCTATTGTAAAGCAATGTTGTTTTTGGTTATAATGTAAAAATAGTTGTTTTTTCCTTGATAAAATGCCCCAGTCCTCTACTACTTGAGTGTTTTAACCTTGCTGTGCGATGCGCAGTTCTGCTCCACCATTAAGAGCCACTTTTAGCATCTCATGTACAGCACTTGTGCTCCAAGGACAGTTGGTTGACTTCCTGTCAGCTAAAGCAGAACAAGCACATCCACACAGCCTTGAGATGTGTGCTTCTCATATCTGTTATATGTGTGTGTTTGGCCTCATGCAGGATTTCGGTGAGTACCAGGAGAGCTATTACTCTGTCCAGACCACAGAAGGAGAGCAGATCTCGCAACTCATCGCTGGATACATTGACATCATCCTTAAGAAAGCAAGTCACCGGCTCTTCAACATGTGAATTAAAGGAACGGTTCACCCAAAATGTCTTCAAGAGAATATTATTCACATTTCCCATGTTTAAACTTTCTGCCGTAATTTTCAGTTTTGAGTGAACTATCCCAAAATGATCTATCCTGTAGATATTCCTTCTTTTTTGTGCAATTTATTTACTTAAATATTTTCCTCCCCTTGTTTTACAGAAACAGAGTAAAGATCGGTTTGGTTTGGACGGTGATGAGGAATCCACCATGCTGGAAGAATCCGTATCCCCGAAAAAGTCAGTGGAGATCTCTTGTTCTTGTCCCATGATAGCTTGTTTTCAGGCAGCAGCCTTTTTGTCACTTATAATTGTGTTGTGCTGATATGTTGATATTTCTACAAACATCCACTTTTCAATTATCTGAAGTAAAAAATCACGGTAACAGGGTTGACTGTTTTACAGTGTAATTTGACTTTACAAGCCTTTTGCTCAAGGTTGTGACACCAGAAAGAGAACATAATACTTATTTCTACAAATATCCAATTTTCCTTAATTAATTGCTTACTATACAAAATCACAGTAACAGGGTTGACTGTTTTACCATTTAATTTGACTTTACAAGCCTTTTGCTCAGGGTCTTTACACTAGGAAGAGAACGTAATGCTGATATTTCTGCAACTTTTTTTCAGTAATTATTTGCTTACTATACAAAATCTTGGTAACATGGTTGACAATTTTAATTTGACGTTATAAGAATTGTGCTCAGTGTTGTGAAACCACGACATGATTCTTAAAAGAATAATTTAATTCTGATATTTCTACAAATCTCTGCTTTTCCATTTAGTAGATTTTTACGAAACAAAAATGCGCTAACAGGGTTGATATTTTAAGATAGTCCCATAATGACAACTGTAACAAAATTATCAAAGCATATTATCCACTGTTTTTCACAAAATGAACACCAAAATATTAGTAAGGATCAGTTTGGTTTGGACTATGATGAGGAATCCACCATGCTGGATGAATCTGTACTTGTTTCAGGCAACAGCCATCTTGTCACACTTTTAATTGCATTGTGATTACACACCTAAAACATTTTTTTGTTGAATCACTGTGTTTCATTTGTATTCACCTCATAGTGGAACTGAGGTGTCTAATGACATTGGAGGAAATGCTCAGGCTGCACACTGCCATTTTTAATCACAAGGAGATGGAGACACATTTTTCTCTTCTTTTACCCTTGATGTGGAAGGCGCTGAGGGCAAGAGAGCGAGATTATTATTTCCACAAAAAGCGCTACCTCATCAGCAAAACGTCATTTAAGATATCAGGTTTCTGGAAGAGAGAGATAGAGATAGTGAATGTGTGAATATTTTCCTTCCTACATCACGCTATTTCTCAGCCGCTCAGTAAATTTATCTTGGTATTTATGTATTTGGGTCATTCTGAATAACAGTTGTCTTTTGCAGTTTGAGTAAGTACATTTCTGTAAATTTTCAAACATTCTACCAAACAAATAAGTGTTATTAAGTTAAAGTAATTACATTTAGGATATAATTATGGCTTCAGAAAGGTACTATATAAAGATTGGCAGTAACAGGGTTGACAGTTTTATGGTTTAATTTGTCTTTACAAGCCTTTTACTCAGTGTTTTGACTTTAGAAAGAGAATGCTGATATTTCTGCAAATCTAGTTGTGAATAATCCATTGTTTACTATAGAAAATCATTTCAACAGAGTTTGCTGTTCAAAGTCAAAATCAAACTTCACGGTGCTTCTTAGAGAATTTAATTCTGATATTTTTACGAATATCCATTTTTCAATTATCTGAAATTTATTATACAAAGTCACAGTAACAGGGTTGACTGTTTTACATTTTAATTTGACTTTACAAGCCTTTTTCTCGAGGTCATGGCACTATAAAGAGAATGTAATGCTGATGTTTCTACATATCCAGTTATCAGTAATCAGTTGCATACTATACAAAATCTTGCTAACAGAGTTGACAGTTTTGCAGTTTAATTTGACAATACAAGCCTTCTGTTCAAGGTTGTGAAACATGTTTTTTTAAAAGCATAATTTAACTTTGATATTGATACAATTACCCAACTTTTAATTAAGCAGATTCTTACTACACAAAAACATGGTAACAGTGTTGATATTTATCATATTTGATAAGGTTTTCCAGAAAAATGTAACGTTCCACTGTTTTTCCACTGAATTAATTTTAATTTACATGCATCTGTATAGTAATACAGTGATAAATAGCAGTAATAGATTTAACTAATAGATAACAGTAGTAATAAATTTAGCTACACTTTTTTATAGCTTTATTTTTTTATTTTTTTTATGAAAATAAAATAACACTAATAACATGACAATTTATGAAAAATGAAACTATATATTTGTTTCTCACATATAGTAAGATCCAAAAGTCTGAGACTGTTTGGAAAATCTGCTCTGAAATTTTTCCTGAAATGTATCTGGAAATTTCTTTTTTTTTTGGGGAGGGATTAAAAAAAATTTTAAAACAAAAAGAAAAAAAATTAAACATATAAATAAATATATATAAATATATGGCCCCATACTTCAACTCCAGCAGTGCTTTTATCCGGCCTGGGCTCTGGTTCTGTCAGAATGCTGTCAAGCGCTGCCTGAAAAGTGGTTGTTATGGGCGACGGCATCCCACTTCTCTCTGTTGGAGAGGGGGAGACATCGGGCATCGGTGCCTGCGTCTGTCCTTGTGCCAACTTACTCATGTTACTTCTAGCACTATAATCCAAAAATTGAGGCCTCTCACAATGAGCTGTAATTAAGCAATAGTGCCTGAAGCGTCTGTTTTCTTGGTGCAGATAGGGAAGCGTCGCTCAGCTGATTTTAATGGCTGTCAGTAACTACCGAAACAACAACAACAACAAGCATCATTCACAGATATAAGGGTGAATGCAGGCTGACAGCATCTGATAATGAGCCATTACTTCTTCGTAGGTCCACCATCCTCCAGCAGCAGTTTAATCGGGTGGGTCGAGTTGAGCACGGGTCGGTGGCGCTGCCTGGCATCATGCGCTCGGGGTCAATTGGGGGCCCCGACACGTTCAACATGGGCACCATGCCCTCGGCTCAACAGCAGATCACCATGGGACAGATGCACAGAGGACACATGCCACCTCTGGTGAGAATGTGCAACCGCAATGATGTTTATATCACAGTCGCATCATATGCGGAGCGGTTCTGCTTTCACGGCTCCATCTGTTGCCTAAATCTTCATTGTGATTTATTTGTGCCTAACATATTGTAAATTAGACTGTCACATATGATAATTGGGATAATTGGTTGTTTGTTGCTTTCAGGTTTTCAATTGTGGCAACTAGGTGAATTATTAAAATTGATGGTCACGTATCATTTATCAAATCTTCTCTGCACTGCTATTTTAGTATACAACTTTTTATATTTAAGACACTATTATACTTTTTATTATTATTTTAAATTAAAAATGTAAAAAATATTTTCCATTTTTATTTTAGATTAAAGTTTTATAATTATATAATTATATATATAATTTAGTTTTTTATATAGTGTTTTAATGAATTTTTATTTCGGTATTAGTTTGCTATTTTAGGTTATCAAGTTAAACTAAATTAAAATTAGATTTTTTTAAAGTAAATAACTTTTTTTTTTTTTTTTTTTTACTAAAAACGGACTAAAAATTTTTTACTAAAATTTTTAAAGTAAATAACTTTTTTTTTTTTTTTTTTTACTAAAAACGGACTAAAAATTTTGTACTAAAAACAGAAAAGTTTTCCTTTGAGTGTTTGAAAAGTTTCACAAACAGATAATAACATTGTCAAAACAATCCCCGCATTACATGGATCTGCAAAAATTACAAAAAATGCTGTATTGTGCATGCCAGGCCAGTAGTTGGCGATGTTACTTTGTAAAGAAACACTACGTGTCTGCAAACAAACCTATAGATTGAACATGTAATACGTATACACATGACATCAACGTTTTCACACATTCGCTTTTTTTCTAGTTTACGCAGAGATGATAACAATATAGTTTTCAAAAACAATAACGTTATAATTTTTTGTTTTCAAAAGTTTGCATTTTCAGGCCCCCAAAACCCCATTGTTGTGTAAATTAGTGGCCAAAACACAAAATGTTTTCTGTTTTTAATTAAAAACGGTGTTGTGTAAACAGGCTCTATAGTTTGAGTTAACTATAACCTTTGTGGTGTTTGTTAAACCTATTCAGTGTAACCTACACTGTAAAAAAAAAATTCCGTAAAATTTACGGTAAAAAACTGGCAGCTGTGGTTGCCGGAATTT